TGCCTGCCACACAAGGTTTTGGATGGTCTTTGAACCATAAAAATCACATGATACCACCACAATGAGCTAAGGCAGGGAGAATGGTTAACTAAAAGGGAAAGGAGCAAGAATTAACTCAGGAAGGAAGTTCAGAGCTGGCAGGTTTGTTCAGTTGTTGCAGGATTAATATTCAACCATCCTTTTGAGCACAGTTGGGGCGGGGGGGGGCAGGGAGCAAGAAAGCTGAAGACATGAAGATAAACTAGTTACATAGAAGGTATCTTGAAATAATCTGGTACGATTATCCTGTCCAACTGTAATAATACACAGCAAACAGTACTTACTAAAAGAGACTCCCTCCCCAGCACTGGTAAATTGAAGGTTCCTTCCCCAATACTGTGATTCAAGGGTCTTCAAGACCACTTCCCATCTGAGTGTTTTACAGCTCAAAATGATCCTAGGATTCTGGATCTATTTTCCCTGCTTTGCATTCTGTCTGGCAGCTACAAAAGTGCCATTAATAATGATCATAACATGTTGGAGAACTTCAGGGGTGGCATCCTTTGCAAAAATACCATCCAGTGCATTGCAACAGACTCTGCTGTTCTTTGCTGCACCGGGTCTCACACACTGGGCTGTAGAGGCACTGGGGGAGGGCAGCAGGGAAGGAGCCCAAGCCTGAAACGGGCAGAACACAGCCCCATGCAGAGATCTTGGGGAAGCACAGATCCACCCTGCCCCCTGGGAGTACATGCAGCAGCAGGGAGTAGCCCCCCTACCCGAGCCTGCAGCAGGCAGCCCACCCCACCCACACTCTGCGCACAGACCTGTGGGGTGTGGGTCCCCCTGTCCCCGCAGGAGTACGCGCAGCAGCAGAAAGCCATCCCCACCCCCACCCATCCCCAGCTCCCAGACAAGCTGCCCGCAGCCCCGTTCCACTCCCTGCCAGGGCCCTGTGGACACGCAGTCCAGACCCAGGCCCCAAGCCCCAAGCACTACCCAGCTGGGCAGCAGCCTCAACCCCGCTCAACTCCCTCCTTCCCTACGGGGGCCTCAATTCCCCCTCCACCCCACCTTCAATTACCTGTAGGAGCTGCTCTCCATGCTGCCTGGCAGTTATGTGCATATACATGCACATGGTGCCCCCTGTCTGACCACCCTCCTCCCACTTCTTCCCAGCTCCCTTCAGGCTGGAACTCTGCCAGCCTGCAGGGGCTTGTTGCAAAACCCCTGGGTTTCTCCGGTAAAATGATAAATTTGCATTTGCTTCCAGTAAAAGGTAAAATCTGTGGTTTACTCCATTTTCCTGTGGGAAATGGAAAACCCAGATCCCTGTTCATAACCCTGAAAAAACTCCCTCACATTGTGATGGCACTAGAACAGATACTACGAGTGCCTCCTCTCCTTCATTTGTTTCAACATTCTCTCCTGTCTTTTGGCATTTCAATGACTGTTGTTAAGATGACCTGGTCTGTCCCCCACTTCCAGACAGCAAGAAAATCTAGGACCTCAGTATGGGGCTATGTGGAAGCAGAGAGCACAGCTCTAATGTGATGGCATAGCATGCAAGACTCGAGATACACAAATTTGTCACAAACTGAAACTGCAGACAAGTACACTGACTGAACACAAACATTTAACTGCAGGAAACATCCAGTCAAGACAACCCCAGAACAGCAAAGGGTACAAAAATAAACACACAAGCTCAGCTAAACGCACGCCAAAGAAATGTGACACAGCAGCACAGGGACTGCCACTGGGGGAACATTTGGATCTACGTGGGATGCATTCGCATTTACATTGTTGCATAAAAACACATCTCAAAGGTCAATCAATTCAATTTCAGAATGGATGTATTTTAATAACTGAAATAAAAACTGAGAGGCTGGATAATTCAAAAACTTGTGTTTGGGCACTTTACTCTGGAAATCTCAAGCTGATGTGAAAGACTTTCCAAATTATAGACAAGCCCTTTTGGCACAAGGTTATATGAGGTGGTATGGTAAGCTCTGGCAAGTTGTGGTTTGGTAGGTCTGCAACAGATGGCATGCTATAGAGCTTCTCAGCAGAAAAAGAATACTTATCCAATTTACTTGGGAGGAATTCAACAAGTATTGACATGTTCTACCAGAAAAAAAAACAACAACTATGAATAGTTCCAGCTGAGAGAAAATATAGACAGTTGTACAAATAAAATCTGTGATTCTCTGCTACTGGAGCTTCTGAAAATATTATAATTAAAGAGCATCATGTATGCCATAATTTCATTGGTTGTGCAACAATCTCTACCAAGATATAAAAAAAAAAGACTCCAATTTCCCTAGCCCCCAAAGTATATTTACCTTCTCCTTTGCTTTAGATCTGAATCTTCACCACTGTTTTGGGCTTTCCTATGACATAAAGATTATTAAGAAACTATATAATAAAATACCTATGGGTCACTTAATATCAACTATTAATATACAAAAGTATACTTATACCGATTCCAACAGTGACTTCAAACAGGTGTTTGCTTTAAATAGCAAAATATTGGCAAGAGTAGTTTTGCAGGTCACTGCTAAGCACAGTATGAAATTCCACTCATTAATTTCAGTGGAAGCAGTGATGAATCCTGAAAAACTAGCTTTTGGGAATCCCTCTATAGTCAGTGCAGTCAAGTCTGACATTTCCCTACCAATACCGGTAAGCAAAGCATAAACAACACAATTATTGTCTTACAAAATAGACCAAAACAAAAAGCATTAATTCCATTCAAAATGTGGGAAGACATAATTAGGTTAGTATCTATCCACTATTGTCAGTGTCCACAATCCCACGGGTGATATCTGACTTTCAAAAACAGTTCTATGCTGCTATGGCCCAAGAGAAAACTTGTTATTGGCATGGCCATCTGTCTACATGGTAGAAGAACCAGATGCAACATACTCCTCATCTCAAAAAAAATCTTCTACTACACAAATGTTATAGGCTTTTCAAGATGTACAATGCACATCTGAATTCCTTTTCTTTCCTGGGTCCTTCCGCCAGCTAAAATAGGAGACAGAGTAATGGGTAATAGGAAACATACTCCAGTTAACACAAGGCTACCTTACCAGGATATATCAATTCAGCTTTACTGACACTAGTGGACCTAGGTAGATTGACACGTGCTGAGCATCTAGAATCTGAAATGATAGCATCTAGTTTGATTATCAAGCATATTGAATTGGGGAATTTCTTTCCCCTTCTCTAGCCATTTCATGATATGTTAAAGGGCTAACACAACATAAAATCACCCTATAAGGCACATATCCAGCTGGGAAAAGGTTCTCTCATCTATAACAAGGCCCTGCTTACAAGCCCTGGTATAGAGGTTACATAAGGCCAATGTTGTCAGACACAGGCTTGCTGCATACAAGACTCCAGACCCTGGGCAGGCTCCACGGACTAAATGTGGAAAGTTCCTGTAACTCAAATGGCCACAGGCTACTGTCGAAATTATGAAGGTAGCCCCTTCAGTAGGATGGCCAACCAAAGATTTATTTATTTATTTATTTTTTACCAACAATCTGTAAACTTTTTACTGACAATCAAACTTTTTTACTGACATATGTTTTACAAAATGTAACTGTAACCCTTCTTATAGACCCTGGACAAGGGCTGGGTTCAAATTTATGGTTTAACACCAGCCATAGCATAAAAGTTTGATTGTCTGTAAAGTTTGCAGGTTATCAGTAAAAGAATTTCTTGGGTAGGCAACCTTGCCCGACTGCTGCCACCAACTTGGGTCGGACTAGATGATCTGCTCAGGTCCCTTCCGACCCTAGAAACTAGAAACTATGAAACTGTCAGGATGCCCTACTCACTCTCACACCCTGATGTCTACAACCACTCCCCACACTATAATGCCTCCCCCTTGGCTCACCCCCACTGACCCTGCTCTTCCTGTCCTTGCATGGACCCCTAAGGAATGGCCACTGCATGCCAACCTGCCACGTAGCAGTGTTACAGGCAGATGGGATGGGATGCAACAGCAACACCAGCACATGGCTGGGACTGGGGAATGAGCTATGGAAATTCCCATCAGCCACAAATCCCTAATAAAAGCTCCTTTCAGGATGCTGCTTTCTTGCTAAGACATCAGGTGGAGCTGCTGTGCTCTGCCTGTGCTTCAATACTGCCTCAAGTTGCTTTCCCATCACAGAGCTTCAGTCAAGCTCTGGTGGCTTTAGATTTTTATAAGCAGCTTAATTTTTAACGGATTTTTATGAACAGACATTTTTAGCATTGTTATTTATGGAGTGTCCACAAATTTACAGAGAGGTGGTTACCATGCTCTTTAGCTATATATGATCAGGAAAGGAAAAGGGGTCTTGACTGCATCTTCTTTTGGCTCTGTCCTTTCTGGGTATGTTTCTGCAAAGAATCTCATATTATATCACTTAATTTCACTTCTATATGTTACTCAACTGTTTATATAATTTAAAAATAGCTATATACCTCACAGCTCTATTTTTGAAGACACATACTATGATATAATAAGATTCACTAAAGACCATACTAAGGAGATTTTCCTTAAGGGCCTCATCACTTTTCTTTTTTGCCCAAAACAGTACTGATATCCTTTATAAAAGGCTGTTGTCAGTAAAATGGCTCTCTCTCTCTTCCACCCTCCCCCTCCAACCCCTGCTTCTCTACCTTCACCTCTCCCTCTCTTTCCCCCTCCCCACCTTCACAAGTGGATGAGCAACAGCAAATTATGCAAATCCTTAGATTCTGAATATTCCTTTCCACAGCAGCCAGAGTCAAGAACAGCAGCAAGGAAAGGAGTTAAGGCTTTCAAACTGCCCCCAGCCTACCCCACTGGATTCTGAGGGACAACCACAGGGCCCACATCCCAGTCTCTACATCTTCTTCATCTTTTGTAGGGAGCAACAATTATGGAATTTTGTTCACTTGTTTGTAGTATTGTTACTGGTGGCTGTTGTATCCTCAGATACTTCTCTGGCTCCATGAGCCTTTACTGAGCCCCAAAGAAAGCAGTATCACAAAAAAGATTCCTGCAGCAAGTAGAAGCTAACACGAATCTCCGTACACTTACCTTCTTCTGACTGGCTGCCCAGACTCAGTTTCACTGCCACCTGATGGGTTCCGTCGCCGAGAATAAGGAAATTTTGGTGATTTATTGCGGTCACTGGGAGAATTATACAGTCCACTGGAATCAAAACAGCAAGAATAAACAACTGACCTCAAAACTACCAAGGGATTTAACTGCCATGGCTGCATTCTACAGAAATACTGAGAAGTTAACATATTTAGATTATTTAAAATTGCTGTACTGGCAGCAATAGGAAGAATAGTAATTCTTTATACTGACAAGGTTGTTATTCAAAAGGAGTGTACATAATAGGATTTGCTCAAGCTTACACTGAGATATTATTGCTTTTCAGGAATACGTACATTATACCAAACCTTGAAAAGAAAGGACAATTATTCAGAACCATTCAGAGAATGGTAACGCAATGTTATAGAATGCTGACACTGATCCAACAGCTATGTGCAGCGAGAAAATAGAACATTATTTCCTGAACAGGCATATTTTTGTAATCTAGAACAACTAATTTAGGCCAGAGCAAAGCTTTCAAATACATATTTATTTATAATGCTAAAGAAAATAGGAGAATAAGAACGCTGTCCCCTCTACTTATGTACACATCATTTTAATTAATACAGTAGAATCTGGATTCTTCACAATTTGATTTCTTACCCCCCTGCAAAGATGATGGTTTTCAAACTAGCTAGAGTATACGTAACTGCAGCAAGCAGCTGTGCAGGACTGCTGAGGTGTTCCAGTCATTGGCTGCAGCTTTAATTTCAAAGGGCATTACTTCTCCAATCAGTTGTGTGAAAACACTGAGCTCCAGCTGAGTGGAGAAGTAATGTCTTTTGAAGGAAAACCCAGAATGATCATCTGGCAACTAAAATTAAACAGGTTGTGAACCATCTCAATACAAAATACCTGGATTCTACTGTATAAAATAAAACAAATATGCCATGGGCCTGAGAGTATTAACCTCACAGATTATAGCTTTACTGCAGAGCTAACTTAAGCTCTTATGCAAAGTGAGCCCTGGCACTGACCTCTTACTGTGCAGACAGTTCTTTAATTTGGGTTTGGAGGGACTTTGAATCTAGGTTTGCTTAACCCAACTGGGATATGGATTGGAGCCAAGGGTGTTGAACTTTGGCTATAACTCACCCACTCAGCAGCATGAATGCAGGCTGTACCCCAGGTTACATAACTTGGATGCTGACAAGTCCTCTAATGCCTCCCCACAATTTCTCAATGATATATTTTTCTTATCTTTTATCTACTTTCTCCTTTTGTACAAGAAGCTGCTCACAAATTTTTAAATACTGATTTCACATTTATGCCGCCACATTCCACAGTGCATTTTTCATTTATACTCTGCACTTGAACAGACATACCATGCAGGGAAATCCTTTATCCCAGGACACTGCTAGCTAGAAACAGACTCTCACTAAGATTCTGATGGATTACTGTTATGAGATCGATGAATTCCACAACTTGGAGACGTGTACAAAAAGCAGCACCACTAGAAGTACTTACATCTGTATTAACCCTTATCTTAGCACAGATGAATTGATCAACGAACTAAACATCTGTGGTATCCTAGGTGCAAGTAATCATGACTTGATTATATTTGTTGTGTGAAAATAGAATGCATTTCCAAGCCAATATATATAAAAGGGGGCAAACATTATAAGCCAAATCAGCTGCAAGAAAAAAAATGTTAAAAACCCCTTCAATAATGATTAGGAATTGTTTAAGAAAATTTTCCCAGATGTTCAATCCCTCAATTGAGAAAGAAAGGTTGCACACATTAAAAAAAAAACAATTTGGCCTACAGGAGAACTGAAGGTAGCTACAAAAAAAGAAAATGAAAAAAAATCCCCAGAGACGCTAGGAATTGTAGAAAATTAATAAGACAAATGATAACATTTGATAAGGGAAGCAAAAAAAGCACAAAAACAATAAGGAAGAGATTTTTAAAGTATATTAGGAATGAAAAGAATCCTAACCATGACACTGGCCTGTTACTGGCAGGAAATGGTAGAATGCAGAAATGGCAGAATTAATAATGATGCAGAAAAGGCCAAAAAACTTAATATTTCTGTTCTGTATCTGGAAACATGCCAAATAACTTAGCCTTAGCATAGGAACACTTTTTAGTACAACAGCAAGGCAGGAGGATAGAGTAGTAGCTATTAAATAAAGTTAGACATTTGAAATCAGCAAATGTGACTAACTAAGGAACACAAACTTGAAGGCACCACCTGGTCCCTGAGTTCAGCCCTTTGCTACCATACGTATGACATCATATAATCCCTTATATAACTTACCAAACTCTATCTTAAAAGTTAGGGGGGTTTTGCATCCAATATTCCTACAGAAAGGCTGTTCCAGAACCTGACTGTCCTCTGATGGTTTGGAACCTTCTTCTTACTTCCACCCTAACCTTTTTTGTGGCTAGATTATACCCATTTTTTCCTCAGGCCAAAAATTATCCTTTACCTCAAACAGTTCTTCTCCATACCTGCTATTTACTTCCTGATGTGTTTATAGGGAGCAATTATATCCCCTCTTACTCCTCCCCCACAGGCAGCATGGCCACAGCGGAGCCCTTGGGGAGTGGGGGTGGCAGATGCAGGCTGCTCGCTGTAGGCTTGGGCTCCCTGCCTTGCTGCCCTCCCCGCTGGGTCCTCTGCAGGCCAGTGGGAGGGACCTCACCATGGCAGCATGGGTGGGCAGGGGGTGCCTCGCCATGCCAGCATGGAGCTCCTAGCAGCAGCAATGAGCTTCCCCACCTGATCCTGCTCTGCTCTGCTGTGCCAGGTCCTGTCTGCTGGGCTACAGGGCCCCAGGAAGAGGGAAGCCTGCCCCACCCCACACACAAATCTGGAGGACGTATGCCTGCCCTACACCCCCTGGGAGTGCACTCAATGGCAGAGAGCCAGCTCCCCCCCACTGCCCAGATAAGCCACCCACAGCTCCATCCCACTCCCTGCTGGAGCCCTGCGGCCATGCACAGTCCTGGGCCCCAAGCCCCATGCACTGCTTAGGCTGGGCAGCAGCCCCAGCCTCAACACCCATACCAGCCCTGCCCAGCTCCCTCCCTCCTTATGGGGGTCTGAATCCCTCCTTACCCCGCACCAGACTTACCTTCAGGAGCTGCTCTCCAGGCTGCCTGGCAGTCATGTCCATGTGTGAGCGCGCACATACACATGGAGCCCCCTGCCTCACTGCCCTCCACCTGTTCCACCCAGTCCCTTGCAGGCTAGAACTCTGCCAGCCTGCAGAGAGCTCTTTGCAAAAGTGGAAAATCCACGTGTTTCCGTTAAAATGAAAAATCCGCATTTTTCTCAATTAAAGGGAAAATCCAAGGGGGGGCTTCCGTTTTTTCATGGGAAACAGAAAACCTGGACCCCGATGATAATAATTTCAGTTTTCTTTGCAATTCCCTTCTTAATGCAGGTTTCCCTCGCTTTGTGTGTGTTCTGTATGTGCGAATTCACTCTTATGCGATGACCCTTTTTATACCAAAAGTACATTATATGCAAGGTAAATTCACTTATGCAACTGGTGCAGTGGAAGCCGGCAGTCAGCTGCTTTGTGCAGTGCATTGTGGGAGTGGTGCGCACCAAAATATAGTCTCCTATGTGGATCTGTGCTCCTTGCTTGTTGTCTGCGACACGTATTTCTGTAGTTGCCATCCCCATTATGATAGTGCCCTGTGCTTGTGTGTACTGTCTGCTGTTGGTGAGTACTAAAATTGTCTTGTAAAAGTGGTAGAAATGGGTCTAGGGGTCAGTACAGTTGAAGTCTTGGAATGTATCCCTATTTGTTACATTTGTGAAGTGGGTTTCTTTTATACAACTTCAAGTTATGTGCTGTTTTCCAGAATGCATGTACAGCGAGGGAAACCTGTAATCCCTAAAGTTTTGTTTACCTTTTTGACGGTTGCCTGAGTAGTGAGCTGATGTTTTTAGTGAATCATTCACAATGGCTCCCAAATCTCTTTCCTGTGTAGTAACAGCTAACAGGACTCATCCTAGCATAGGTACAGTTTGGGTTATTTTTTCCAGATGCATCACTTTACACTTATCTACACTGAATATCATCTGCCATTTAGTTTCCCATTTGCGACCTCGTGCCAGATCCTTCCATAGTCCCTCACAGTCTGCCTTGGTCTTTATTATTTTGGATACTTCGTGACATATGCAAATTTGGCCACCTCACTACTCAACCCCCGGCTGAGATCATTTCTGAATATGTTAAACAGCGTTGGTCCCAACACAGATCCCTGGGTGCCACACAGTTTACTTGTCTGCACCCTGAAAACTGACTGCTTATACTCACTCTTTGCTTTCTATGTTTAAACTAATTTCTAATCCATATTCCCTGTAATCCCATGACTACCTAATTTACTTAAGACCCTCTGATAGGAGACCATGTCAAAGGCTTTTTGGAAGTTCAAATATACTATTTCAACTAGACCACCTTGATCCACCTGCTTATCGATACCGTCAAAGATCTCTAATAGGTTGGTGAGGCATGATTTCCCTTTGACTAATCTGTGTTGATTCCTCCCCAGTAAATCATGTTCATCTATGTTTTGAAAAAAAATATTTTTTTAATGATCATTTCTACCAGTTTTCCAGGAACAGAAGTTAGACTCACTGGCCTGTATTTCCCTGGGTCCCCTCTAGACCCTTTTTTATATCGGAATCATATTGGCAGCCCTCCAGTCCTCTGGTACAGAGCTTGTTTTTAGTAATAGGTTACATATCGTTTAAGAGTTTAGCAATTTCTGATCTAAGCTCCTTCAAGACCCTAGAGTGAATGCCACCAGGTCCTGATGATTTTCTACTGTTTAGTTTATCAGTTTTCTCTATGACCACATTTACTGTAACCTCAATTTGGGTCAGCTCCACTGACCTGTCCCTAGAGAGGAGTGGATCTGGTGAGGGAATATCCCCAATAACTTCCACAGTGAAGACAAACCCCTCATACATTTCCTGAAGGTGGCATTTATCAGGTAGGAATTCTGAACCAACTACTGGTCATTCCAGGCCTACGTGGGATTTGTAGGACAAAGTAAGTTTACCCTACTCTTTGCTTGTGGTTCTGCTTCAGAATCACCAGTCAGAATGGAAGAGAGATTCTAATGCTCTTTAAACTTGCACCATTAGTCTCCATACTGCCCTAGCTGCATCATCTCCTCTATGAGACTCGCCATTACCTTCACAGGGCACTGCTGAAATGCCCACCAAAAGATCTACTTTGTATTTGCCCACTGTTCCCAAAATAAGGATGTATTAATGTCAACAGATAGAAAAGATCCAGGTTTAGCTAAAACTATTTAAAGACCACAGGCACCAATATGAAGCAAATGCTGAACTAGAAGTGCTTTGTTTTACTGAGTTGATGAGCTAAGAATACACAGGAAAAATCAGAAGAGTTCTCCCACAATACACTGCAAAATGATTCAGAGAAACACGGATTCATATATTGCTAAAAACCGTAGATATGCACCCAGAAATCATAGCATTTAACCTTGGTCAGTACAATTAGGGCAGCGCGAAGCTTCAGCCACTGATTCGATTCAGCAGAGATTTGGCCTGATTCGGTGGCCACATCTCCAAATCCAAATCGAGTCAGGAGACCCTTTAATCTCTCTGAATCAAATCAGAACCCTCCGAATCAATTTGGAGAGATTGGATGATTTGGACATAGACACAGCTTTCTGTGTTTTTTCTACATACCTCAAGGTACCAGGTGGCTCGTGAATGCTGAGATGGTTGGGCAGATGGAGCGTCCTATGGGAACACGGGGGGTGGGTGGTTCCCAAGAACACTTGGCGGCAGACCCCGAAGTGGACCAGAAGCAGTTCTGGTCCACTTCCAGATCTGCCATGGAGCGCGTGGGAGACTCCCTTCACCCCCCCGGCTTGGCGACTGGTGCCTCCTGGGTCTGGGGGGTGCACCTGGGGTCCCCCTGCAGCCAATCGCTGAGCCGGGGGGGCATGGGGAGGGGTTCTATTAGAAACTGTGCAAATCTATATGCAGTATATAGGCTGTATATTTATTAAAGTTTTTACCATAATTTGGGGTGGAAAGAGTTATATTCAGTATTTTCATTTCTTGGCTGCTAAAATTACAAGCTTGCATCTATCCCAAGGACAATATTAACAGCGAAACAGTAGTATGACAGCCTGTAGCAGGTCCCAGCCTCCAAGGGCAGCTGTGATGCCCCTTGGTGGCCCCTTAAGCCCTACCCTACACTCCAGATCTTTGGGGTACCTTCCCTTCTTCTGCACCAGGCACGCCTTGATGTAATTATTCTTCATATAAAAGGGAGGCCGCCCCCAGGTCCTTAAGTGAACCCAGTCTGACTCAACCTTGCCCCTGGGATGCTGAGCTGTGGCCCTCCTAGCCTCACTAGTATCCCAGGACACCAGTCACCTTATGGGCTATTCATGGCCTCCATTCACCCCTATAGCCAGGGCCATACCTTGCAGATGTTATTCTAGATCCACACACCAGTTTGTACGGGCTTCAGTCCACTGGTTACTCTCACTGTCAACTGCCAGCTTAGGCCCACTTCTTCTGGCCCAGATTCTGCGTCTCAGCCTGGTCTGGCCTTTGGCCCACCTCGTTCTGCTTGGGCTCTTGGCCTTTGGCCTTCACTGTTTCAGCCTTTGGCCCACCTCACTCTTTTGGGGCTGAAACTCTGGCCCTCTCAGCTACAGCCTGTCCCTTTCTTCCTGCTGGGGCTCACACCCTGGCTCTCTTAGCCGGAGCCTGCCCTTGATAGGGACAAAAACGTGGAGTACCTCCCAGGAATCTCTGCATGGCCTCCTGCCCTCCCCTCCAGCCACTATCTAGTCCTCCAGGTTATCAAAGTAGAACAAAATTGCAAGCAATCACTTTAAACTGAAACAAAGTTCCCCCTCTGTGTCATCATACCACTCCAAGCCCCCTCCCCACTCTCTGGCTCTCTCAGCCCTGGGAGTACCTGACATGACTTGTAGCTCCCACTTACCACCAGCCTGAACTGGAAGGAGCTCCTCCTACAGCTAACCCCTGTTTAGCTGCCACTAATCCCGCTTTCTGCTTCAGTTTCTCTCAAAGTAACAGGAGCCCCAGCCCCCGTTACATAGCCTAATAACATTTTCTCTATTAGAGATGACAAAATCATATTTTTATCTCAAATTACATATGAACATTCTACTAATAATGTTAAGGCTGGCTTCAACATGATTCTTGTTTCTTCTGCCAAAGTGCAATTTGCTAAACAGGAAGAAAATATATATGACTGAAAAATAAATGCATATGCTTTGTAATCTAAGCTTATAAATGATCATAGTGCTATTCTAAAACCTCTTGCTATATATCAAAGGACTAATCAACACAATTCACAGCATTAAAAATATTCAAATGGAACCAGGGACATTTGTGGAAATGTCTAGTAATACGCCTCATCTGACTCATCGGTTTGTTATGACCCTGCTACTCATAAAAGTATTATATTAACTTCCTTCAAATATTCACCCAAGCAAAATCTTGTGCCATTGCACAAGATTCAAAAACCTTACCTCTGGAGGCCATTTTCCTCCCATGGTGCACTGGTTTTACTTCTTTGGGTTTCTGAACTATTTTCATTTTTCACCTTTTTAAAGCTACAAGCAAGCAAAGATGAATTAAAATTTAAAAAATATATTTTTTAATATTATTTTTTCCTATAGTTCGATTATCAGTCATATGAGGGACATGCAAGCACAGAAGTAGCACTCCCTAGCTTAAAGCCATTTCCTCTCCATGCTAAAGAATCTCTCCAAGATATACCATGTTTGGAAGGTAAAAAGAGTACTTGAAAAACCAGCTATGCAATATCACTCCTGACACTTCTGGAAGCAATGTTCCAAAACAGCCAGAAACTGGAAAACTGGACTCACAAAGAGGTAGTGGTATATGTAAGCAACCTCCTTCCCCACCTATATAGAGAGTAGAAGCCATGTCCTAAAATGTCTGAATCATTTCAGGAGCATTCCTTCTCTCTTTCAAATTCATCTTTTTCTGCTCCCAGTTTTTAACATCTTGAACTTCAGTCAAGGAAATAAAGGGTAAGGATCCCAAGACAGTCAATTAATGTCATTCCAAGTGTTAGTCTGTGGTATCTGAATGGACACTGTTCTCTATTCAGTGGCTGCTCCTATTTTCCCTGCTGCTCTCCTAGCCCTTTTCTGCAACTACAAACACTGATTTGGACTGAATATTCACATTAGTTGACAGTAAGCTCCTGAACAAGTATTACTGGTATAGCATTGCACTACAAACATAAGCGGTTTCAAAGGACAAGTTAAATATCAACAAAGGCTGTCAGAGAGGCTTACTTGCAGAGGAAAAACAAAAGCCAGCATTCTTCACTCAGAGAGTGAGGGATGTCACCTGCATGACATATTCAGTTTTATGAAGGGAATTTGCCTATTTAACTTGTTAATCCAATTTTAACCTCTGCTTCCTGTTACTTCAGGTTATCAAGTTAATCATTTAATTCTCATATAACATAAAAACTACAAAGCTAGCAGAAAAAAAATCTAAATTAGGTTACTTGAACATGTGAATCAATTTTTCTTGATACTTCACCGATTAGGCAATCAAGCTCAAATGCATGCAATAAATCTATTTTCACCCTGAAACATGTTTGTTACAAGTTGTGCAAGTAAATGTGGCAAACAGGCTCTGTCCTGAATTGAGAGCTCCCCTTTTTGGCATAGCATAACAATTACACAATGAAGTGATTCTCAGAATGGCATTAGGTCTGAAGAAATTTTAAATGCATGTCCAATATGGCTTAGAGAGAGAGAGAGAGAGAGAGAGAGAGAGAAATAATCCTGGGGAGGTGAATTAACTGTATTAGATTCCCAAGACATTACTCATTCAGAGCAGACACACATTTTACCTCTGGAGTGGTAGAGCATGGCAGCTCTTCAGATACTGGCATTATCTTCAGGAATGCAGTTGCAAAAGGGATTGAGTTTACTCAGTATCTTTGAAAAGCCAAGGACTTAAATTTCACAGGAGATTACTGTTTTCTCTGGCTTACCTTGAATTTACACCATTTATGCAGAGGTGACCAACTACCTATTTGAACAGTCAAGAAGATGATAAGCTACGAAGAAGACTCAGCTCAGAAGAGTGGTTACAAGATTCTTTATAAGCATTCTCAGAGAGCACTACTGGAATTAATAGGGAGGGAAGACAGCAGTAGCCGGCAACCTTTACAAGCTGTGGGCCAGAACAACCTGGCTTTGGTCCAATTCAGGCTGGGTGGCTTCAGCAGCACAACAGCAGCAGGGGGCTTTTGCTGGACCCACACTGGGGCCTGGCAGTTGGGAGCTGACCCTGAATTGCCACCACTTCTCCCCAGACCTCTAAAATCACCCCCCAGTCCCTGCCTTCCAGCTGCAATGCAAGCACAGATGGAAGTTGCACAGTCCTGGTGCAGCTCCCCACCGGGTACATCTACACTGCAGCTGGAGGAAAGAGGGGTAGGGAGAAGGCAGTGGAATGGGCACAGCTAGAAGCTGCCTGTCACCGGCAGAGGGCCCTCACTGTCCAGCTCCAATGCAGGCACAGGCATGGACACAGGCAAAGCCCTCCAGCTCTATGCGTCAGATCCAACAGCTCCACAGGCCAGAAGCAGCCTGAAGATCATATGTTGCTCACCCCTGGAACAGACTGCCGAACTGAAAATGCTTCAGAGACAAGGTGTGTTGCCTGTCTGATGCACTAAGTTTAGTGCAGGTAGAAAGTATTTTTCAAATGTAGGCACAGAGAGGAAGACCATCAAGTAACTTTATGAATATTGTATTTAATTCTACAGGTGGAGACATTTCTTAATATCTTTTCTACAAATGGAACAAGTCTCTACACAGAGAAGTGCCACGAATAAAGAAACATATCAAACTTCAAAATATGCAGCATGCATGGAAAAGCAGATAGCATCCTTGAAGTTGCTTTAACCTCATTTTTTTAATTTGCTATGATTAGCCTTGCTTAAAAAACATGTATCAACAGGAATCTGCCAATTAAATGTTTTAGGCTATTTCAATTTTATTATATTTGAAGTTTGGTTCTTTTCCTCTTAAATATGCCTGTTGGCTGGAGATACTTATTTCAGTTCTGAAAGTCAAACAGAATAGCTCACATTAAATTCAGTGGAGCTTTGGCAACTGACACCATTTGAGCACCTGGCCCAACAAATTAATACACTGTGCTTGATGTTACTCCTAGGTTTTCAGGATGTGCAGTGGCATGAAGTTGGTGGGAACTGCAACAACTGAGAGTGATACTACTAGATTGCCTAAAATGGGCAGGAGAGGGAAAGGCTATGTCTGCCTTTTCTCCTGCCCAAAAGCATAGCTGAACAGCCCTGTACCCCAGGCAGCCCAGACACAAGGGACAGCACTGACTGCCACTGCTGATTGCAATGGAATGATTAGCTGCCGCTTCTGTGGCGATTATTTTTGTGCCACCCGCCCTCAAAGGCAGCACTCCTAGCTAGTGCCCTGGTTACTCCCCACCGTCCTCCAGCTACACTACTGCTTCTGCCACCCACTAACCAAAAAGATGTCTCTAAATGGAAGGAAAAGGTAGGACACACATTTCATCCTGTCAGAGGATTTTCTGTGACCACTCTTCCTTTGCAATCTTGACAGAGTTGTGCCTGCCTCCCAAAGTTTCTATGGAAGCAGCAGAATGGCACACCAACCCTGATACAACAAGAACTTCCATGTCACAATCTGGTCTTTTATGCTGATATCAGGACCTAATGTTTTTCTAAACAGGATGCTCTAGTTTAACAAAACAGTAATGAATTATTGGGTGAAATTTTATGTCTTGTGTTATTAGGTGAAACTAGATAATCATCAAGATCTTCTTTAACCTGTGAATATTTAATATACTTTGTTCTTCTATCTGAAATTGGGAGTGCTTCTTTAAGCCAAAGGAAAGCTTTTGGTCTACCTACACTTACCTTTTTACTGGAGAAGGTGCAATAATTTTGGTGGTTCCTTCATTTTCCCCATTTTCCATATTTGCTGTAATCTGGTTTATGCTGTTGGATTCTGGAAAAATATATTTTTTAAATCCTTTAAGGTGCTCTCTTATACATTTTGATATATTTGGCTATATCACAAGACCTTATACAGGCTTACTGAATGCATATGGCATTGTTATGGTATTGTGAAATACAACAATACAGAATTCCCACATGCTCATTCCCAAATTCTGGTACAGCGAACACTTGCTAGTCATTCACTGGGATCAGCTAGGCAGTGTCAACTCCATACACTTATTTCCAATCTAAGTATGTGAAAAGAAAGCTAAACACGTATTACGTTCTTTCACAATATTAGCTTTCTACTAGCACTTCTTGAAGTTCCTAGAGGAAGATTACCATATGCCTTTGAATGAGACACACTTCTTAAAAACAAATATTTCTAAAAATGGCCCTCATCTTAAATTTGAGTTAGAGAGAGAGTTTCCCCTTCCCCTACTATTTAGTAAAAACTTAGCTAAGATAAAATTAAGTACATGACAACTTATTAGTGCAAGGGCATCAAACTCACTCCTCCCTTTCCCTCCCTCTCCCCCTCCATGACTGATCTGAAGGCTGCTCCAGCAAGTCTGCAAATCATGCATGCAGCATGGAACCTGGAGTGGCTGGAATGGGCACCACGTGCAATACAGTCTGGCAGAGCAGCAGCTTTGCTGCACGAGACCTTCCCTGGCAGGACTGAGACTGTCACATATGGTGCCTGCTCCAGCCAGTCCAGGACCCGCATTGTTTGCAGCACCTGCGAGTTCTGCATGTAACAGAGGTCCCAGACCAGCTGGAGCAGGCCAGGTGGGAGCTGCGTGTCCCAGAGCAGGTGCTACATGTGGTGCAGAACAGCTAGAACCAACTGGAGCAGCTGCTAGATCAGATACACTGGAGGATGAGAAGAGGGAAGGAAGGGCATGGGAAGGGGGTCATGGGCCAAATGTGGCCTTCAGCCTGGCCTTGTGCCACAGGCGCAGACCTTGCCCTGTATGCGTCTGAGCAGACTCAAAGGCAGCACCAGGGGACAGATGGTGGAGCTCCACAGGCCGGATCCAGCCCACAGGCTGTACCTTTGACACCCCTGTATTAACTGTACTGAATACTGGGAGAAACTATGCACACCATTCTGAAGAGTTGGACAGGACCAGTATGCATAAGCAGAGCAGTATATTATATTAACTTATACAACATTGAGAAAAGACTTAATATAATGAATATTAAACACTTTCTATTATGGTAATCGCACTGAACAGTTCATTAGTTTTGTTTTGGACAAAGGGCTTATTTATCCTACAATGCTTTCATGGGCCAGATCTTGCTCATCACCTATGATAACTAAATTTGAATAACTGCTGCATTACATACATCTTTAATGCTTTCTACTTTTCCTTAGAGTTTCCTGCAGAACTAGAACAACAGTACAAACATCTATGATAGAGTATATCTGATATGAAAGAATAGAAAAAGTGTTCAAGCAAAACCCAACTGTTATTATTTAACTGTACTATTGGTGTTTCAATATCAGGACTACAGGCACCTTAGCGTTTTTGCACATAGACCTCATTTATTCCTGGTTGCTCACCTGTTGTCCCAAAAAAGTTACTGCCAGCATTCCCTGAACTTTTCTAACAGAGTTTACTTACATATGTGCTTTGATTTGCTTACGGTTATTTCCATGAAGTCATTTTTTCAATGGAATATAAGTACACTATTAGATTTTACAATCTTTACTTTTAAATAATTTCTGGAGCCTGACAGAATCATTAAGTCTGTTTTATCAATTAAACTACTTCCCTTGATATCAGAATGTAGTGTTTGTATTTCAATCTATTAAAGAGGAGAGGTGTTCATGAGATCAAATGACAAATATCTTTCACGGAAGTTCATGCACTGTCTGCATAATCATAGAAATCAAGGGCTGAAAGAGACCTCAAAAGATCGTCAAATCTAACCCTCTTGCCTTGGGCAGGAATTATATTAATACATATTGCAATGGATGGATTTTTGTATGTGTATATTTTTAAAATATTGAAAATAATTAAAACAGTCTAGATACTCTTGGGAATAATACTATTTTAAATAGGAACTATCTGTTAAATAAAAACATTAACATTAATTATTGTTCCAAGCCAGTCATCTCCTGCCTTTATTTCCATACTCCATATATATAAAATACAAAATTGGCCAAATTGGTATTCTGTTAAAACGTGTAAATATTTTACAGTTTTCAGAGTGCAAATCTATGACAAGTAAAATTTTACAGCTTTTATGAGCGGCAATAATAAAGCAACTACATAGCCAAAACTGAAAACTACGGTACATTTTTTAGAGTCAGAATCTAGAATAGATACCTTTTTAAACAAGCTTTGGCACTGATATTTACTCAACCAGAATGCATTTCTCAGAATTAAGGATTTTTTCTGTAACGTGCAACTCTGAATTATAAACAGAATATTTAGACCAGTGTAACTCCATTCCCTCATTTACATAAATGAAGGGAAAAGTGGGCTTTTTACAGCTAGGTATTCATCCAAATTGAGGAGTATTCTGTTTTATGAGTCTAGGCTTAGTGGTTACTCATATACAAATATTAAAATATTTCTTACATCAATCATTATTTCAGAGAATCACCCTCCATAAGACTGAAGTATCTGCTATTATCAGGGAATTCAAATGAAGTGGCCCTGGGATCCATACATATGGTAGCTAACTTTTATGCTTTTATTTCAAGTGCCATGACCTTCGTTGTCTTTCCCAAAGTCTAAGCTTTTACAGATATGCAGTTATGTGAGCATCTCAGAATTCATTTGGGGAAGAAAAGTTTCTAGTTCTCAACATTTCAAAGAAAACCTTAAAAAATATAATGCAAATCTGTGAAGGTTCAAACACAAGTAAAAGGAACTCAGAATTTATTTTCTGAAATGTCATTATTGTAACCTAATCTCATAAACAGAACAGACTTTTAATGCATGCAATTGATCATTCTGAAAGAAAATACATTAATGTTTGAATAAGATGTAGCCTGCAGTTTAATGGTAGACATCTGCGATCTTATGCAGGCTTCTCAGGTCAGAGACTATGTTAGCCTCTGCCCCGTTCCAGGCCAGGCAAAGAGTGCTACTTCCATGTAAACATTAGCAGGCTAATTTTCCAAATTGTTCCTAAATCAGAACAGCAGCATTTTAAACCCATTTTGCACCACTGAAATCATCAATACAAGGTATAAGGCAGTCATGAATCAGGTTCTAAAATCATTTACAGGAAGCTGAGCATTTTCAATTATTGAGTAAAACCCCACTCTTTGGGTGGCGGTAGGTGAGATCATAAAAATATTTTCCAAGAGAGAACACCCTTCAGGAACTTTCATAATGGATCATTCAACCAAAAGGCCAACTAACCTTTTCATCAAGCAGTCTAGTATCCAGCAGTTGCAAGCTGCACCAAATGCCATTCCTATCACAATAGAATGCTACAGAACAATGAGAGGTCCTGAACACTGCTGCAGTGGTTAAGTTTATGAGTCATAACTGAAATGAAATTTAGTTGTAACCCTTTCCTAGCTAAACTGAAAAAGAAAGCCAATAACTGTGCAAAGCAATCAGTAATTCATACCCCAGCCTTATGCCTTCTAAGAAAATTCTCAAAAATGAACATCAATTTAGAAAACTAACCTGGCCTGCTTGGTGCCAACCATCCAGAGAGCCTTAGGATAAATGTCAATTGATTTTTGTAAGAGTGCTTTCTATGGAGAAAACATAGTTGTGCAATACTGAGATTAAGCAGAAAACAAGTAGGCTTCTCTCTTTTTTTAAATTGGGGTCAGTAATTGACATCTGTATCAACACCAGTATGGCTCCAGATTCCATACAAGAATTCTACTAGAAAATCTACCTGGTAAACAAAAAGACCACCAGTTGGATGGAAATATTAACTGTAGTGGTTAAACGTGGCCCATTTATTTCTGTAAAACCCCATGATGTATTTTTATAGGAAATGTTATTTTTAAAAAATCAACACCAAGGCTTTGATTTTGACCTCAATGACAGTTGCATAAGGCAGAGCTACTCTAGTGAAGACAAAAGCAATAAAAAGGCATGAAACCAGCGCAACGCAAGATCAGAAAATCAAGGTTTCTAAATTTAGCTCATAGTCCAGTCCATAGATTAAAAGCATCTAAAGTGTTTAGGGCACCCAAACCTCCTGATGTGCCTTGACTAATAGGTTTTCCATGTTATTCAATGAAACAGTTAAAATACAAAGCTAAAAAGCCTTTGGTTGTTCACTGTAATAAAATAAAAACATATTAAATCGCATGCACATTAAGCTTCCTTGGATAACTTTTCTCTAATACCAGGAAGACTGACATATGTAATGTTTGAAGGAAGGGCCACTTCACCATATACGAGTTTAAATCAGGTTCCTTGGAAGATAGTCTGCGAGACTGAAGCCAAACTGTCCATCCTATCAATGGAGCCAGATGATTTTTAATGAATATTTCATGAGTTCGGCTGAAGTTTCTTTATGCTCACTATGCCCTCACCTCCAGTCCCTATTTTAAGCCCCATTTAGTAAGCTGATAAGAATAAATTTTCCCAACATTATTCTCTCGGCATCTGTTCCAAATACAATTCACAGTTCAGCTTTTACTTACTGTGTTATTTGATTTACAACCATATTACAATAGTCCAGTATGACAAGGCAGCACTAAGAGCAACTCAGAGCTGCAAAAGATAGCTAACCCCTTTGTTAAAGTAGTAGAAGCAAAAAATGAGAGGGAAAAAGATGCGCTATATTTAATGTTTTTGTATAATTAGTAACAACAGCCACCAAGGGACAAAAACAGAAACACAGGTACAGGAAAACTGAAATGAGTGAAACAGTAGGGGTATTAAGTTTGACACCCCTGTTCTCAAGCTTACCTTGTGCCCCAGGCCAAATCCAGACTGCAGGGCTTCTTGCAGACCAAATCCAGCCCAGGGTATGGGGTAGTGGCCACCACAGTGGTAGCCACAACAGCAGGCA